AACGTGACACACACACACACACGTCCCCCTCCATTAGCATAAATCCTACTCCAGTACCTTCTCACTCTCCACCTCCTCAGCCCGACTTAATTCCCAAGGAGAGACGTCTCAATACACCTGGGGCCAGAGGAAGGGAAGGGAAAACAGTTGGGCACCAGCTTGACGATATAAATTAAATGAAGCGTAAAGCAGCGGAATCCTCGCTGAATAGAGGTGTGTGTATTTAACTGTCAGAACAAAGCGGCAGCAGACCTCTGTCAGGGTGAATGAGTATATTAGTCACTGTGCCTGTTTATAATTGACACCCTGAGATTATCCTGTTTCATGCAACTTTCAGAGGGAGAGGGGTATAAAGGAGGTAGGGAGAGGAGTATAAAGGAGGGAGGGAGAGGGGGTAAGGAGCTGCCCGGCGCGGTGGGGAGCCCCTTCCAAAGGGGGAGGAAATAGGAAAGAAAGAGCTTAAAACTAATTAAGAAACATCTCAGCGGAATATACATGATCAGGCAACAATGTAATTATTGTATCAATGAACCAGTGGGTTAAGCCCGTAGCACCTCCTTATAAGAAACACAATGTAAGGAAATGTGCCACTCCTACACAGGTAATCCACAGGTTGGCCTCTATTAAATAACAGCAATTATGCCACTCCTACAATTGGCTGAATTATTGCCTGAATTATCTCTGTGCTATTCCAAAAGAAGCAATAAACAGCATGGTTTTCTATCTATCTACTCTCATATAGATCATCCAGTGAGGAAATCAGTTAGCTGAGCAGATGCTGCGTTTAGGGTTGAAATGTTGCTAATGTAGTATTCATTATCCTCTCCTACAGATGGAAGTATATTGGACGAATTCTTCTCTTATTCATAAAACAGGATCAAAGCCATTTGAGTTTTTCTTCCCAACAGTAGCATAGTATCTCTGCTCTTACTCTTTCCCAGTGTAGTTCACAGTTGCCAGCTAGCATTAACACAGTGATGCTGTTTCACCGGGCGTCACACAGAAAAGGACCCACAAACCACCTCTGACACCAACTGACGAGGCACAGCAAGGGGAAAATGTGATCTCTTCTTCTCATTATGTTCTCTATGACAAGACACAGCGATGGGGAGACAGGGGTATTATACTGTAACTAGGGCAGAGCTGATACCACGGTTTAGGTTGACAAGAGAAGAGGAGATGAGAAGTCTATGGGGGAACTGAACTCTAGGGAGCAGATTAATTAGAGAAGGCATGCAGAGAGAAGCCGGGCACTGCAGAGACAGAGAGAGCAGGTCTGTGATGCCCTGGAAGAGGCCTGCTGCACTGACAGCTCTGCCTGGCTCCTGCCTGGCTCCTTGGGATCAGTCTGTCATGATCTCTTGCCTCATTTGAAATGGGATGGGATCACTTAGGGATTCCATGTGTCAAACACTGACTTAAACTACAGAGCTAGGAAGATTGAGAAAGTGAGATATGTATCTCTTTGTGGGACTGAGATGTCAAAGTGTGGTTTGATGTGAGTATTGCACCGTAGGTTGTTCTGAGGCATGCAGAGCTCTGCTGGATGGATTCAGAGCTGGGTTATTCTGAGATATGCAGAGCTCTGCTGGATGGATTCAGAGCTGGGTTTCAGAGCTGGGTGGTTCTGAGGCATGCAGTGCTCTGCTGGATGGATTCAGAGCTGGGTTTCAGAGCTGGGTGGTTCTGAGGCATGCAGTGCTCTGCTGGATGGATTCAGAGCTGGGTTTCAGAGCTGGGTGGTTCTGAGGCATGCAGTGCTCTGCTGGATGGATTCAGAGCTGGGTTCAGAGCTGGGTGGTTCTAAGGCATGCAGTGCTCTGCTGGATGGATTCAGAGCTGGGTTCAGAGCTGGGTTCAGAGCTGGGTTCAGAGCTGGGAGGTCAGATGGGTGGTGCAGAAATAAGGCTACTCCCGGATTCATTTCTCAGAGTGTCTTTTCAAGATTGAAAATAATTAATGTTGGTAACGCTTTACATTGAATAGCTCTTATGTGTAACAGTAGATATTGTAGTGACAGCATGCTTGCTTTGTATTAACATGGTAATAGAATTAACCTTAACCCTAACTTCATGTCCACATCCCAGTTCAACCCTAACCCTAACCTCAACCACAACCCTAACCCTAACCTTAACCAGTGGAGTACTGCAGTTTCGTTGGGCCCCACTGCATTTTGGGGATTTTGGGGTGGGTGGGGGAGTTAACTTCCTAAAATTCTTTTAAAAAAAATCCATGGCGCAAAGAGAAACATTTGCAGTTTTATAATGCTATTCTACACATTTTGCAATGAAGCTGAGAGAATTTTGCATTTTTAAAGATAATTTCCTGCAATTCTACACATTTTGCCATGAGGCTGAGAGAAAATGTGGCATTTTACAACTACATTTCATTTTTTTTATGCCATGGCTTATGACGTGTTCATATGCTATCTGGGGAGGGGGTGTGTGGTACGCGGGGCTGCGGGGGGGTGTGGTATGTCGGCCAGTGACCTTAACCCTAGCTTCATGTCCACATCCCGGTTCAACCCTAACCCTCAACCCTAACTCTATCTCAGGGATAGGAAACTGGCCCCCCTTTTGAAGGCCCTCGGATCAATATTATTATATGTTTTTAGGAGCTCAGTCGGGATTTCAACTTACTGTTGAGAGTTAGAATAGTAGAATACACAAGGTGCAATTTTGAAATTTGGTTGTACATTAGCAGTTTCTCTCTTATTATGTCAGTCACTGATCGTCAGTCAATTAGCCCATGTCAGGTAACATTTTTTAGATTGCTAAATTAGTTTAGCGGTCAGCTATCTACAGTGAGGGAAAAAAGTATTTGATCCCCTGCTGATTTTGTACGTTTGCCCACTGACAAAGAAATGATCAGTCTATAATTTTAATGGTAGGTTTATTTGAAAAGTGAGAGACAGAATAACAACAAAATAATCCAGAAAAACGCATGTCAAAAATTTTATAAATTGATTTGCATTTTAATGAGGGAAATAAGTATTTGACCCCCTCTCAATCAGAAAGATTTCTGGCTCCCAGGTGTCTTTTATACAGGTAACGAGCTGAGATTATGAGCACACTCTTAAAGGGAGTGCTCCTAATCTCAGCTTGTTACCTGTAAAAAAGACACCTGTCCACAGAAGCAATCAATCAATCAGATTCCAAACTCTCCACCATGGCCAAGACCAAAGAGATCTCCAAGGATGTCAGGGACAAGATTGTAGACCTACACAAGGCTGGAATGGGCTACAAGACCATCGCCAAGCAGCTTGGTGAGAAGGTGACAACAGTTGGTGCGATTATTCGCAAATGGAAGAAACACAAAAGAACTGTCAATCTCCCTCGGCCTGGGGCTCCATGCAAGATCTCAACTCGTGGAGTTGCAATGATCATGAGAACGGTGAGGAATCAGCCCAGAACTACACGGGAGGATCTTGTCAATGATCTCAAGGCAGCTGGGACCATAGTCACCAAGAAAACAATTGGTAACACACTACGCCGTGAAGGACTGAAATCCTGCAGCACCCGCAAGGTACCCCTGCTCAAGAAAGCACATATATAGGCTCGTCTGAAGTTTGCCAATGAACATCTGAATGATTCAGAGGAGAACTGGGTCAAAGTTTTTTTGTCAGATGAGACCAAAATCGAGCTCTTTGGCATCAACTCAACTCGCAGTGTTTGGAGGAGGAGGAATGCTGCCTATGACCCCAAGAACACCATCCCCACCGTCAAACATGGAGGTTTGGGGGCGTTTTTCTGCTAAGGGGACAGGACAACTTCTCTGCATCAAAGGGACGATGGACGGGGCCATGTACCGTCAAATCTTGGGTGAGAACCTCCTTCCCTCAGCCAGTGCATTGAAAATGGGTCGTGGATGGGTATTCCATCATGACAATGACCCAAAACACACGGCCAAGGCAACAAAGGAGTGGCTCAAGAAGAAGCACATTAAGGTCCTGGAGTGGCCTAGCCAGTCTCCAGACCTTAATCCCATAGAAAATCTGTGGAGGGAGCTGAAGGTTCGAGTTGCTAAACGTCAGCCTCGAAACCTTAATGACTTGGAGGCGATCTGCAAAGAGGAGTGGGACAAAATCCCTCCTGAGATGTGTGCAAACCTGGTGGCCAACTACAAGAAACGTCTGACCTCTGTGATTGCGAACAAGGGTTTTGCCACCAAGTACTAAGTCATGTTTTGCAGAGGAGTCAAATACTTATTTCCCTCATTAAAATGCAAATCAATGTATAAAATTTTTGATGTATGTTCTGGACTGATCATGTCTTTGTCAGTGGGCAAACGTACAAAATCAGCAGGGGATCAAATACTTTTTTCCCTCACTGTAAACTTGTTATCATGGTCGAATTACTGTCCAGGGGGCCCCATTGATTTTGTTAGTCAGTCTCACTCAGATATCATATTAAAAACTGCAAACATTTCTCTCCGCCCCATGGCAAAATATGCAGAATTGCAGTAAACTTGCTTAAAAACTGTAACATTTTCTCTACACCCCAAGGAAAATGGATAGTATGGATGTGGGTAAGCAGTTCAGAGTTTTTGTGGCCCCCACCCCAATCAAAGTTGCCCTGCCCTCGCTTCATGTCCACATCCCAGTTCAACCATAACCCTTGCCTCAACCACAACCTTAACCCTAGCTTCATGTCCACATCACAGTTCAACCATAAACCTTGCCTCAATCACAACCCTAGCCTCAACCTCAACCCTAACCCTTAACCACAACCCTAGCCTCAATCACAAACCCTAACCCTTGCCTCGACCACAACCCTAACCCTCAACCACAACTCTAACCCTAGCCTCAATTACAACCCTAACCCTAGCCTCAATCACAACCCTAACCCTAGTGTTTCCATGGGAACATCTTTACTCATAGGGGACCTCTCTGTCGTTGTTTGTGGATATGTTCCTAAATATTGCATTTCAACATCCATACACTAAGCAATTAACCTTTTCTGGACTTTTTTCATCTGTGTGTGTTTTGTATTTTGCCCTGTCTATGTGTAGTGTGACGTCTCTTCCTCCTCCTCTTCCTGCTCCTCCTCCTCCCACTCTTCCTCATCCTCCTCCTCCTCCTCAGATGAACTTGGGCCACGTTGATCACATTTATCATCAGGCCTCACCACCACTGCCTGTTGCCTCCTCCCACGGCCTCCGCCCAGCGTGTCGTCATGGCAACACCTCTCAGGCCTGGCAGCCTTCCCCTCTCCTTAATGCATGACTGGTAGCCTAAACACCTCACCTCGGGTCCATGCCACTCTGGATGCCCACAGCCACCTGCCATGTGCCTCCTTGTTCCATTGATGTGTGGGGCATGTGGTGTGGGTATGCTAACAGCCTGGTCTTGTCCTGACACTGGTTGGTACCAGACACGTGTTGTGACCCACCTCACCCTCACTAGATGGTACAGCAGCCCCTCCTAAGGGACCGACCCAGTCCAATGACCTGTCCTGACATGAGATGCTACGTCCTTGGTGTCTGGAGGTGTGTTGAATGCATGTCATTAGAAACACTGTTAGCACTACTGCTGTTTTTAACATATTCACAGTACCTCATAAAGAAGTTTATAACCTAGACAGTTCAGGAGCTGTGGGAGTGCTGAAAGCATTGGGATTGATGTAGTTGTCAATGTCTGCAGGAATGGAAATGTCTTTCTCTAGACTGTGGGCGAGCATTGCCCTCTTGAGGTGAAACACAGTAATGCATTATCACTATCAGCATTATCCAGGTAATGTTTTGCAATCAAATATGATTTAAATTATTTTGCATCTATGTCAGCATTATCCAGGTAATGTACTGCAATCAAATAAGATTGAATGTATTATGCAGCTGTTATTAGACATAACTTCAGACATAACTGTAGGCTATAATTTAAAAAAGGATGATATATGTTGATAAACTGAAATAACCACATGCAAAGTTCAGCAAACACTTTTATTTTACAAAAATAAGATGTGTTATAGCAAAATAAATATATATGGATAGCAACCCTATACACCTGCCTGTTGTTATTCTGTTCACCCTCCAGTCCAGTCCACTGCTCGGTCTATAGTCAGTCTTTAAACAGTTTATTCAGTCTATTTTCCGTAAAACATTTCGAGTAGAAATTCATTCATGCTGACCGTGCCGATGACAGGTTTGAAGAAAAGTCCAGCAACGACGTTTGCATTGATGGACCGTAGCATGGAGAGCGCGATGAATAGTTTAGTGAACCTTGTAGCGTCTCTTCGGTGAGTGACTTTCACATATTCATTAAGTGCTTGATGCGCTTCGCTCTGCAGTGCCTGAATGTAGCTTTGACACCGGAGCTCTGCAATGTCTAAGGAGAGAATAAAATGGAAGTTATAATCAGTCGCATAGTTAATAATAGCCCATTCATAAACTAATAATAATAATAGGCTACTACTACTAATAATAATAATAATTAAAACAATAACAACAATATTTATAATGATAATAATAATAATAATAATAATAATAATAATGAATGATGATGATGATGATGATGGTAATGCATATTATAAAAACAATAACAAAAACAACTATAATAATAATAATAATAATGATAATAATAATAATAGTGATAATGATAATGATAATGATAATGATAATGATAATGATAATAATAATAATAATAGGCTTGCTAATAATAATAAAACCAGTAAATACACCATAAAGCAATTTGTTTAACAAACCTGGATTGAAGAGAATGGCTCCCTTTAAATATGCGTATTCTTTGGTGCTGATGTCCAGTCCCCAACATTTATTCAAAAACATTTGTATTCCTTGGACATCAGTGAGAGAAACGCCTTGGCTACTGCGCCCGTGCGCGGTCTCCTGTCTTCCTTGTCCGCTGGTTAGAATCTTCTGTAACATACTGGGTTCTGGCGTCTCCATGGTCTCGAAGTCCATCATGTCCTGCGCCATGCCCAAAACGAGCAGCTGGGCCCAGCTGTTGCGCACGAGCTGTAACTGGTCCTCCGCAGGAAGTTCCCGAAAACAAAGTACATTTTTAACGAACTTCAGCGTTTTTAAAAGCACTGCCGACGCTGCTTTACAGGTTGTCTGGGGAGAACGGAGAACCACTTTCTTCTTAGATCCACACGAACAAACCTGCTGTTGAGGGACCGGCCACCCTCGCGCGCCCCTGTGAATGCTGATTATATTGGTTGTCGTTTTTCAAAATGCTGTAAAGGATGCTTCTTTGTCCCCTTTCGCCGAGGCACTGGCAGCTGTCAAAGCAAGCCATCCCGTCCGTCTGTTGATAACTGGCAAATACAACCCTGGCGACGTGGAAGGTGAGGTTTTATATTTCCTTCCTCCCCATTGACAACTTGTTTAGACTTTATAAATATTCGACACCTCCCACCCAGTTCTTCACAGGCGCACCACTAGAGGGAGCCAGACAGCCAGTTGACACCAAACCAAACAAGTAGTGCAAAGTGGTCACATACAGAACAATAGACAATTGCTGGATTATGCGAAAGACACCCTGAATTAGATTTTCTAAATAATTAGGATATATAGTGCATTCGGACAGTATTCAGACCCCTTGACTTTTTCAACATTTTGTTACATTACAGCCTTATTCTAAAATTGATTAAATTGTTGTTTTTTTCTTCATCAATCTACACACAATACCCCATAATGACAAAGCGAAATGTTTGCTAATTTATAAAAAATTTAAAACGGAAATATTACATTTACACAAGTATTCAGACCCGTTACTTAGTACTTTGTTGAAGTAAAATGTTGAAGCACCTTTGGCAGCGATTACAGCCTCTAGTCTTCTTGGGTATGACACTACAAGCTTGGCACACCTGTATTTGGGGAGTTTCTCCCATTCTTCTCTGCAGATCCTCTCAAACTCTGTCAGATTGGATGAGGAGCGTCGCTGCACAGCTATTTTCAGGTCTCTCCGGAGATGTTCGATTGGGTTCAAGTCTGGGCTCTGGCTTGGCCACTCAAGGACATTCAGAGACTTGTCCCGAAGCCACTCCTGCGTTGTCTTGCTGTGTGCTTAGGGTCGTTGTCCTGTTGGAAGGTGAACCTTCGTCCCAGTCTGAGGTCCTGAGCGCTCTGGAGCAGGTTTTCATCAAGGATCTCTCTGTACTTAGCTCCGTTCATCTTTCCCTCAATCCTGACTAGTCTCCCAGTCCCTGCCCCTGAAAAACATCCCCACAGCATGATGCTGCCACCACCATGCTTCACCAGGTTTCCTCCAGATGTGACGCTTGGCATTCAGGCCAAAGAGTTCAATCTTGGTTTCATCAGAGCAGAGAATCTTGTTTCTCATTGTCTGAGAGTCCTTTAGGTGCCTTTTGGCAAAACTCCAAGCAGGCTGTCATGTGCCTTTTACTGAGGAGTGGCTTCTGTCTGGCCACTCTACCATAAAAGGCCTGATTGGTGGAGTGCTGCAGAGATGGTTGTCCTTCTGGAAGGTTCTCCCATCTCCACAGAGGAACTCTGGAGCTTTGTCAGAGTGACCATCCGGTTCTTGGTCACCTCCCTGACCAAGGCCCTTCTCCCCCGATTGCTCAGGCGGCCAGCTCTAGGAAGAGTCTTGATGGTTCCAAACTTCTTCCATTTAAGAATGATGTTTTTTTTTTAACATACTGGCCCCCCGTGGGAATCGAACCCACAACCCTGGCGTTGCAAACTCCGTGCTCTACCAACTGAGCTACATCCCTGCCGGTCATTCCCTCCCCTACCCTGGGCCAATTGTGCGCCGCCCCATGGGTCTCCCAGTCGCAGCCGGCTACAACAGAGCCTGGATTCAAACCAGGATCTCTAGTGGCACAGCTAGCACTGTGATGCAGTGCCTTAGACCACTGCACCACTCAGGAGACTATTCCCCAGATCTGTGCCTCGACACAATCCTGTCTCAGAGCTCTACAGACAATTCCTTCGACCTCATGGCTTGATTTTTGCTCTGACATGCACTGTCAACTGTGGGACCATATATAGACAGGTGTGTGCCTTTCCAGATCATGTCCAATCAATTGAATTTACCACAGGGGACTCCAACCAAGTTGTAGAAACATCTCAAGGATGATAAATGGAAACAGGATGCACCTGAGCTCAATTTCGAGTCTCATAGCAAAGGGTCTGAATACTTACATAAGGAATCGTTTTTTATATTTAATAAATTTACAAAACATTCTACATTCACCTACCGTCCCCCCCTTTAGAGGGAAGCTATTCCAAACCCACTGAAAGAGAGAAGACCAATACAAATATTTGTCCCCTTCTAGAATAATTGTTGCCAAATGTTAAATGAAATTCTGGGTAATGTGACAATATCCAAGCGGTGCTACATTTCTGTTTGTTAGTTAGGTCACTGCATCAGGTCTTACAAGCTTTCAGACCTCAATTAGTGACCTCAGGCTGCCAAAATGGAAATGCATGTGATCCGCGCCACCGAGACGCACCTTGGCCCTGACTCTGTGGCATCTTCCATATAATAACTAAACAAACTGAAGAATACCTGCGCACCAGAACTCAATACCAGGTTATTATCTCTGAGATCGGAGCTTGTCCTTCTTTCAAATATCAATTCAATTCCAGAGGCAAAGCTTTATGTGCAGCTGTGTACTTTGACATTTCATAGGAGATGTGTTTGTTGCCACTTCTGTAGGCAAGGTTCCTGTCTAGACACTGTCAATGTAAGGCCCTAATTTGGAAAATAAAGATATCTTGTTCTCTGCTCTCCTGAGGTATAGGCTGGCCCGCACAGCATGTTCAACATCTAATTTCATTTGTAGCAATAGGGAGAAAGAAGCATTGTAGAAGAATTCAAAAGTCATGCTGTGCGGGCCGATTTTTAGAAAAGACAATTGAAATGACCAATGTCAATAATTTGAAATGACAAGTGTGTCACGACAACTGTTGTCATGACAACTGTTTGAGTGTGTGTCATTTGGTAACTCTTTCCCTCCTAAAACTGATGCCAAACTTCAGCAGTGACCAACCCACCATGACAACTGTCAACATACTTAATCCGCCTCAATGTCACCGTCATTGAATGTCTGAGCCAACAGGAGGTTGTAATCAAAAGCACAAATGAAGAACTATCAATAAAGTCCTGAAGTTCGGGGTCAGTCACATCATTAGGCTTGACAGAACCATATGTGACAGAACAACACAGACGTCTTGAAGGGAACATATTTACATTTTAGTCATTTAGCAGACGCTCTTATCCAGAGCGACTTACAGTTAGTGAGTGCATACATGTTTAATTTTTTTTCAACACTGATGTCTTCCTCTCTTTGAGGAGATTATAAAAGATGATTGATTCGCTGGCCTGTATGGAAATTATATCAAGGCAAGCTGTTTTTCCTCTGACTCACAAGGACAAGGCTATGGTGTAGCAGCCAATGAACGCCTGTACTTTGGTGGGGTTTACAATATTGTTCACAAAAGAGAGAAACTCTCATAGTTGATTTCCTTGAAAATGAATGTTTTTGTTCCAAGACATAGATCAAGGACAGAGTCAAGTAAACAACCTTCACGAACCTCCTCCTCTCCTCCTCACCTCACCCCACCCATGTCTTTTATCCTGCCCAGTGACCTCCTCACACCACACCACCCATGTATTTTATCCTGCCCAGTGACCACCTCACCCCACCCCCACCCATGTCTTTTATCCTGCCCAGTGACCACTTCACCCCACCCCCACCCATGTCTTTTATCCTGCCCAGTGACCTCCTCACACGACACCACCCATGTCTTTTATCCTGCCCAGTGATCTCCTCACACCACACCACCCATGTCTTTTATCCTGCCCAGTGACCTCCTCACCCCACCCCCACCCATGTCTTTTATCCTGCCCAGTGACTTCCTCACACCACACCACCCATGTCTTTTATCCTGCCCAGTGACCTCCTCACCCCACCCCCACCCATTACTTTTATCCTGCCCAGTTTCTGCTCAAGGACAGAATATGTTGCTAACGTGTTGCTCAATATGTTCTCCTGCTTTATGAAATGAGATTTTTTTCATATTATGCCTTTTGAACAGACCTATTCACTAGCCCAGTCCATGTTTTTATACAGTAGCCTACCACGGTCAAGTAATGGCCTCCAAGAGCCAGCTTCCTCTGCTCATTGTCTTTGAAGATTCTGCATTTCTTTCTCAAGTTTTTCGTGATGCATTCGCAAAATGAAATAGTAAATAAATTGTGAGCGTATGTTGTACAAGCCACCTGTTGCAGTCGTTTTGTGATGTACATGCATGATGACAGTTTGTGAATCATTGGACATAGGAATTGTCTAGTTGTTGGATTCTCTCCTCTGTCTAGGAGCGTCTTTGCTTTTGAACTCACAAACTGACCATGAAACTAGGCGAAGTGCAACTATACTTTTGTATATCTTTTCTACTCTGGTTTCAGAGTGAAACTCTCAGGACAACAAGGACAAGGGCACTTCCATATTATGATTTGTACTCCTTTAAGGCTAAAGTCTAAAGGCTTTCAGTGAACCAAGGACTCCATCCCAGACTAATTCCCATGCTGTTTGGAAACATTCCTGCTCCTGGACCTTGAGAATAATGCAGATATTCTGAGAAGTAACCCCAAAGACCAACACAAATCCTACATACATACATGTATGCTACTTGATTTAGGATGAATATTGAATATGAAAACATACAGTCGACACTAGACATTTCACGCTGGTAGAAATAGTTTTGTTGGAAAAGTAAATGCTCTATTCAATCCATACCAGGTACTGGACATACTGGTAATTACAATAATCAATTCTTCTTGTGCAGAAAAAGAGCATGTTTGAAAAATAATGCAGTTGGTAATCATGGTAAACATGGTAAACATGATAAACATGGTAAACATGGTAAACATTGCTTATATCAGTATACAGGATGCAGCACTTTCAAAGTGCAGGAAGTACATTGTTTTTGTCCTACCTTGAAACACTAGTCGCTGGTTTTTGATTAAGTAGAGCCTTAAGTGTCAGATATCCACAAAGTACCGCCCACACTGAAAGCCTGGGTATGACAGCCAGCTAGGACATCACAGGCATGGGATCAAAGTCAATACTTACTGTATGTCCTGCATTCATTCATTACCAAGGCCTTATTGCTACTGTAAGGGAGGGGGAAATGTTCAGCCTCAGAACCGCAGGAAGTTGGGAGCGGCGAGCCACTTGTTCATGGTGAGGAATCGATGGTCCTTGAAAAGGGCTACATTTTGGAGTGGAGTTAACAAGGTTTTCTCTGTATGAAAGTTAATCACAA